GGATTTTCGATAGAGTTCTTTGTAACTTTGTGGTTTCAAAGTGATTTGGATATAGTATGTACGAGAATTTTTTTTAGTGAAAGATAGTTTCACCCTTTGAATGATTTTTTAAATACTTAACTCTATCACGAAGCGTCTCAAAAATGCGAAAACGAATATTTTTACTACATGTATATCAATATACATACGATACCTACTCATACCAAAATATATTTTTTTTTAATTTTTGTCTGTCTGTCTGTTTGTTCTGGCTTATCTCTGGAAAAGCTGGACGGAGTTTGCAATACTTTTATGGGCAGGTATCTGATGTACAAATTTGTAACATAGATTTATTTTTATTTCAGAAAATTGAAACAATGTTCTAAAATTCATATTCTACGCAGACAAAGTCGCGAGCAACAGCTAGTCATAAATATAATCAGTTCCTATGAGTCTGGACTTTATGTGGAAGTTACATTAAAGGTATTTGCAATTCCCACCCCTTCGAGGACAAGTTATAGTAGATAAAAAGGAGTCATTAATAGAATGATTACTCTAGTGGTATATTAAAGCGAACTCTTAATATTATATTAAAATGTACAAGTATTAAATACTCTATAATTAAGTACAGTAAATTATTCATTTATATCCAATAAAAATTCAATACGACCAATTTATTACATTATTATTTATTGACCAGCAAACCGACTGTATTAATACGCGCAAGAAATTAATTAATCTCGAGTAATCGCCGCCAATTTACCAATACACAGTAATTAAAACGCTGGGCCACATCAACCTGTACGCGTTATTTTTTCTTGTCACCAAGTGATAAAAAATCCGGGACTAATTCAACTCTGTAGGCAGCGCCCGCGCCACCCATCGCTGTTCGCATCAATTTATAGGCTTTTAACCTAATTTGTTGACCGTACACCCCCTCCCACCCCCCTCAACACCCGTCCCAGACCCACCGCCCACGCGACAGCCATCTTTGTTTTACTTTTTTAATAATTAATTTAGTATTGATGACGTCCCATCGTTATCTTCAAAATGGATTTTAATCCAGGATTTAGAAGCTCAAGGATTCAATTAATAAGATAACACTGATCCCATTTTTGCTAAAAAAAGATGAACTTTTATGAGAAACAAAAGCACCAAATTAAGCTATCATGCCCAGCAATAAAGTATCTAATTAATGTATTTTACATTAGCAAAATGGCTGTCGATACCCAACAAAGTCGTAAAAACAAGCATTGACTTTTAATATCCACGCGTATTTTATATTTTATAGGCAGCTATATGCAATAAACAATTTAGGAGTATACATTTTTTTGGTTAATCCGACCAAAAAAGGTGTGTGCACAATCGCGGATAAGTTATTGAGGTATATTATAAAAGCCTTAGGCTGGTATATTTTATAAATATTTTGTGTGCATCCAAAATTTTGACAAATACCACTTAATTTACGCTAATGAATCCGAAATGAATGCATGTTGACGACGAATGGTCGGGCCGTAGTGTTGCGCTACTATCGATGTTGTGTAGGCGGAGAATTAATGTTCCAGATAACCTTCCGAGCTTCTCACATAATTGCCGTCTAATTAAAATTCGTTACCAAATTATGATTGACTTATACAAATTAGAATAAACCTATTTGATAAGATGTTATTAGTATTCGAACCAGTTAACCACGTACAAAGTATATACTAATTGTATATTACCTTTTTTAATTAAATTGAACATTGTAATAAAACTAATATTTGGACTTCAATATTTTTAAAACTTTCACTCTTAGTAAAAACCGAAACATTTCAATCACAATAAATTATAAGTAGAATACTACATTTCTATAACCCTATGAAACTACTAACAAAATCTCAACCAAAAATAACTAAACAAAAAAGTTATCGACATCATTAGCCTCATCCCTAAACCATTCGTATAGATAAACGACCGCTCGCATAAAAATCAACTCGTTCGTCCTAATCGAATTAGGTACCGATATTCATCAGTACGATTTAACACGTTTTGCATTCTTTTGTCCATCGACTAATAAAGGTAGCAGGTAGCAATCCTCACATGAAACTATATCTTAAATGTTGATGAACTCATCGCCGGCCGTATCGATAATTTATATATCTATCGATGCTTTTGAATCGATACCTTTTGTTCGGGATTGTTTTACGACACTGGTTTGTGATTAGAAGCGATTTTTGTTTCGTAATTTGTGGTTTTTTAGTTTAGAGGGATAATTTGATATGATATTACGTTTATAAGCTCAGCTGGTTTTAGTCGATATGAGTAAGTATATCATAGATATTATAATGAGATAAATACACATAGACCGCCTCATTGGTCCTGTGGTTTCGCAGCTTGGCCAAGGAAAGACTCATTGGTATTGAATTTAAGTCTTTGAATGCCTTCAGAAAGCTGTTAAAGGCAAATCCTAAACTAACCATCGGTAACCGATGACCGACGTGGCGGTTGACATGCTATGCAACCTTTCCTAACCTGAGTAAGTATTAAATTCCAGAGCTCAAACTTAAGTGTCAAATTTGAGATGTCGCAAACTTGTTCAAGTAATTCCTAAGGGTCGATTTTTAATGCTCAGTTAAATTTTATCAGAGAAATAACTTTGAATATTTGACAATTTACATACATTTTACATAACTTCACGCCTTTTATCCTCGAAGGGGTAGACAGAGTTGCACTTTATACCACTGTACAATATAACACCCACTTTTCACTATTTATGTTATGTCCCATGTAATAGGGGGTGAGCCTATTGCCATATACCGGGCACAGTTCCAGACTCTGTGCTACTACTGAGATTTTTTTTTAAACCCAGTAATACTTTGCCCGACCCGGGAATCGAACCCGAGACCCCTTGCCCGGCAGTTGCAATTGCGATCACTCGGCCAACGAGGCAGTCTTTGTATTTGACAATTCTTCCATACTAAAACCTGTCAATTTTATTCTACAGTTAAGAATTAAATGAAGATTGAAAAATCGGCCCTTAGTCTTGTACTTGCTTGTCTAGACATAAAATACCAACTATAAGAAACAGTAAGACTAGTAAACAGAGACTGCCTCGTTGGCCGAGTGGTCGCAAGTGTGACTGCCGGGCAAGGGGTCTCGGGTTCATTTCCCAGGTCGGGCAAAGTACTACCGAGTTTTTAAAATTCTCAGTAGTAGCACGGAGTCTGGAGTTGTGCCCGGTATATGGCAATAGGCTCACCCCCTATTACATGGGACTCGTGACATAAATAGTGAAAAGTGGGTGTTACATTGTAAAGTGGCATTAAATGCCGTAATGTACACCTCTGCCTACCCCTTCGGGGATAAAAGGCGTGAAATTATGAAGAAATGAAGAAACAGTAAATAATTATTTATTGACAAACAAGTCACGACTAATAGATTAACGTTTCAATTTTTCAAGAGATTCGATCGTGCGAATAGTGTGTAACTAGAATCTAGAATTTATTAGTTAAACGTGATCTGTAGACTATTCCTTAAATCTTTAACCTTTAAGAAATATAATATCAAGGCTTGTATTGCTAAAATAAGATAGAGTCAACATCATTAACAGCCAATGATAGGCATGGGAGTATCGGCTTCATCTCAAAACCGCCTGTCAAGCAAGAAGATAATGACAAACTCCTATGTAAAGGAGACCAATAGTCCAATAGTGAATTGGGACAATGACAGGGTATGAAAATCTAATTAGTCCGTACTTAACGGTAATGAAAAAATATTAGACACGTATTTTTTATTTTGTCGTATAATAAAACAATACCTACTTAGATAAAACGAATCAAAGTTTAGGAGTGAGGGCTTAAACGTCATTTCTACGTATAAAATGTACATAGAAGTGACGTCACGTAACATTTCAAATCAACATATCGTCGAAAGTATTCGTTTCTGTAAGAAAATAAAAAATACGTGTCTAATGATTTAAAATAATCTACCAGACGGATATTAAAATAAAAATTAGGCATCTACCCTATTGTAGTTGCTAAATGAGGTATCTGATTTTGATTCTATTGCAGTTTTAAATCTTTGTGTTCATACACTGTCATCATCCCAATTGTGATCTCTCAACCAGCGAATAATAACAAGATTATTTATTATTAAAACGTGCGGCACAAAGTGACATTTCATATATTCCTTAAACCTTAACCTTTTTCGTCGTGAAAGTAAGTTGTACGTATTAAAATATTTCGTAACGTAATGTGTTTTATAAATATTATAATATTCAACAAGTACAACAGTCACGATTTATCATTAATATCTGCTTAAAATTTGCATGTAACTATTTGTTTTCTATTCTCTAGCTTTTTGTCAGTATTCAGTGATCATGGATCATGGAAATGTGCCCGGTTTATGGCAATAGGCTCGCCTCCTATTACATGGGAATCATAACATAAAAAGTGAAAAGTGGGTGTTATATTGTACAGTGGAATTAAGTGCCGTAATGTACACCTCTGCCTTCGGGGATAAAAGGCGTGATGTTATGTTATGTCCATGATCATGGTTTGAAACATCCAATCATCGAAAGAGGCATTTTTGGCCACTACAAAAAACATCGGTTGTTCGAAAATACTCAATGACAATTTGAAATTGTGTCTGGTGTACAGCCCCATATTACATCACCATCATCATCATCACCAGCATCATAACGTCCACTGTTGAGCATTACTGGGACTAAGAATATAATCAGCAAAAGATTTTTTTTTTAAAACGTTGCCCCGCTGTTTTATTTTCTCCTGTGTCGTAGGTGCGTTTACAAAAATACAAGTTTACATACACAATGCCACCCAGACCCGAAACAACAATTTGTGGATCACACAAAGTGTTGTTCCGTGCGGGAATCGAACCCGCGCCACGTTGTACGGCAGCCGGTTGCCCAGCCACCGCACCAACTGTGCAATCAACATTTACAATTGCAGTTTTACATTTAATATACGCATCTCTGTTTACCCCTTTGTTATATAGAACCGATTAATAAGAAACCGTCTTACCCCTCATGAGTATCTTCCTCATACTCCGTCTCTGTGTGGTGCAGTTCCACCGCCTGTTTCTAAACTGATGAGCGCACTCCGTGGCTCCCAAGGTCACTCCCTTGGTGATCTCCTTCAGCAGCCCCGTCTCGTTTCTGCAGATCTGGGCCAGTCTGCCGCGCGTCCGCCTATTCTTCTTGCAGATCATTCGAGGATCTAATATGACTGCGCTGCCAGACGCCCTGAGACAAAAAGAGAAATATTTAAGATATTAACTGCTGAAAGCTGAGGAGCGCAGGAACTTTTCAACACAGGATCAACGGCGCCAGCGTAGGACAAAGTATGCCACATTTTTAACCGACTTTAAAATCAATGAAGTTATCAATTTGTATGTATATTTATTCACGATTGTCTTGCAATTGGCTCAACCGATTTTGATGCGGTTTTCAGAAAAATGTTTCTTACAATAATTAGGAGAAAGTTTTAGTAAATTAATGAACGGATTTCAAAATAAAAGTGGTTGAAGTTGGTTTTTTAAACGTAGTTTCTAATTATTAGAAGTGATGTTCATATAAAACTTTTTCTTTTGGTTACCTAATTAACGAACAATATCAACATTTATCGAAATGAAAATGACAAAGAAAAGTACCGTATGAATACAGTGCAAATAACAAGTCTAGATAATATACAACAAGCAATTTGGTAGACACAAAAGACTTGAAATTTTCAAATCGTCTAGTGAACATAATATTCCTGTCAATAGATATCCAAGTCAAAAGATTTCATAATCACAGAAATAGTCATAAAAGTCGACTCACTCAATACGACTAGTGTTGTTCTTCGACTCAGTATCGATTTACGAGCCGCCACGCTCCGCGTCGACAGGCGAGCGCCAGGTCGCGTTGATAGATCCATTGTTTACCTTTACTCGATTAGAGTTCATTGTCAGAGTATCGAGTGCGAAGCTAGTTCGAATAAATTTAGACTCGTCTGCTTCCCGGAATCGATTCTCGAAGAAAGTCGATACCGTTAAAAGTTATCGGTATAAGTTGGTTACAATATCATCCGTCTATCTGACAGTGTTCCATCAACTGATTTGATAGCAATCGCTCTTCATTCGCTTTAACTAGAACTGTTTATGCAGCACATTTTTCAAATGTTTCCTCTCTCGAATGTTTTACGTTAAATACTTTAATGTAATACAAATTCTTTGCGTCTCTATTTTTTATATTCATTCAGGTTTCGTCTGAACGAAAATATTTACCATGTGAATCTTATTTTAGATACAATTAAGGAAGTTTAATTTTGTAGTCTCACTACAGCGGGTGTTGCAATTTCCTGAATATGTATTTTTTAATTTTATGTTTGTATATTAAGATGATCTTCTCAAATCTAAAAATTAAGCATCTGCAGCATCTTAGACACGTGCGTTAGTTTACGTAAAAATTAAACAAACAGTTTTTTATTCACTGATAGACGAAGCTCTCGGAATTTAGCATCTAACAACATCATCGAAACAAGAAAATCTATGACTTATTTAAAGCAATTTCATAAAATATCTAGAATTAGAAGTACCTACGTAAGTACATTGAGATTTCCGATTACGAGCTTTAAACCTAAGGTAACAAACAGCTCCAAAAAAAACAGGAACACCTTAAAAATAAAGATGAAGAAGTAAACACAACCATTCCGACTTCTATTCTAGAGAATATTCGAGATTAACACAAATAATGATGAACTAATTTATACAAGGTGTAAAGACGGCCTTGTTACAACTTCAGCAAAAATGTACACGAAGTACAACAGTAAAAGTCAAGACGCAGGTGAGTTACGATCACAACAGATACTCTGAATTGCAGGTTAGTTTACAAAATGATTTTATTAACCCCCACGGATTAGTTTTGTTTACATTTTCCGAACTCGTGTTTTGTAATACTTCATACAACGATGATAGCGTGTTGGTAACGTTTGTACGATGTTCTGAGCATGTTTTTAGTGTTTTATGCTTTGCTATGTATGATTTTGTTCATGTTCTACAAGTCCTGTCTTATTAGTGTTATTGTCAATAACTTTTATCACACTAATATTATAAATGTGAAAGTTTCTTTGTTTGCATATTTGTCGGTCAATCACGCTGAAACTATTTAAAATGGATTTTGGTAAACTTTGATGTACAGGCAGGATATGGGGACTTACGTGATAAGATACTTAAGGGTAAAAGCTAGTATCAAATAATATTATAAATCAACATTTTATTTTATCGTTGAGATTCAACTAAAGTGAGGTCAGTTTTTACGAACAAATGGATCTAAAGTTTTGGATGACTCCACCCTTAATGTACAAGTAAAACCTTCCCATTTATCTCTGCATCTAACCTACAGGTTGTATCAAATGATCAGCCTAACAGATCATAAGAGCAAAGTAAAGAGAATGCACCTGTACTTGCATAGTATAAATATTAGATAATACTGGTCTCAATGGCCATCGTATTCGTAATCGATCTGCAGGAACATTTACATTACTATCGATCCAAGTTTCATCGAAAGGCTATCATATGCTAATATCATTATTATGAGATGATTGTGTGTATAATTTATAGCCCCATGATATCCCTATAGACATAATAATCTTAATAACATCTGCGTTGATATATTGAACTCTTTTCTGTGAAGAATAAATGAGACTTTTTTGAGAACTACCATTCTGGTTTCCATCTAAATCAGTATATGGTAAATCAGTTACTTATTAGGGCCGATAAATTTATCTGAGCATTGAAAAATTGGCCCCTAAGGCCTATTTTCTCATGGCCAGATAAATTTTAACTGAGAAATAACTTTGAACATTTGACAATTCTTCCATACTAAATACTGTCAAATATCAATTTTATTCTACAACTAAGAATTAACTGATGATTTTCATCGCCCCATTTAGAATAAAGAAAGTGTTTGGAACCACTTCAAACGTCAATTCAATCTAATCGCATCCATAATCTTCATTATTAGGTTTCAAAGTTCAAATGATCATAACTTAAGGACATTATGAACTAGAATCGCTTCCAGTTTAACTTGCTAGATCTTTAACAAAGTTGGAAAATGTCGTTTAAGTATTATGTTCACATTAATAGTGGATATCTAGGTAACTGTTAGTGAAACGACTATTGGAGACTTATAACGGAGTCTCTCGTCTCGTCCCGTCTCGTTTCGTTTCGTCTCGTCTCGTCTTCGGGGACCGATTAGCGGTATGCTTTCGCTCATTGGCACTTCTCAATAGAAATTACTGTTCTATTACTAATTGAGCTACAATTCAGTAAAGAAGTATTAGTATTGGTTTATGTGATTCTACTGCTTTATGACTTTCATATTTATTGATAGATTTAATCTTTATTTGAGTTGCTTTTATTTAGTTTTGTTTTGTTGGTTTTTGATTTATCGTGAAGATTCATATTGTCTATCTGATAGCGATTGGTTTGAAACGGATTAGTAGTTTAGTTTAGTGTAGTGTAGTCAGTTTTGTATACTGCAAAATGCAGATTACAAAAATGTGCGCAAAAAATTAGTAAGTAATTGTAAATTGAATAATTTGAACGTACTTTTATTTAAAGCAAATTAAACAAGTTCTTAATATTTACATACAAGAAAACACGTTAAAAATACTTGGCTTTCTTTACTCAAGTAATGATTATTATGTTGTAAATATTTACATTCGTGTTTCCCAATTTCCTAACATTTTAATTAATTAACAAATTGATGTGTTTTGCTGAACTAGTTCCGATTTCTATGAATCGGACATTGTATATTTCGCAGTAAGGCGGCCCATTAGTTAATGCAAAGCACGCTACTATACACATCATAATGATCTTGATTTACCTACTATTTCGTCAAAATAATGCCTATTTTTGGCAAGTATGCAATTTGGAATCTCTCCTATGATTTTACTGCTGCCTCATTGGCCGTGTGGTCGCAAGTGCGTCTACCGGGCAAGGGGTCGCGGGTTCAATTCCCGGTTCGGGCAAAGTATTCCTGGGTTTTTTAAAAATCACAGTAGTAGCACGGAGTCTGAAAATGTGCTCGGTATATAGCAATAGGCTTACCTCCTATTACATGGGACTCATAACATAAATAGTGAAATGTGGGTGTTACATTATACAGTGGTATTAAGTGTATTCTGCGTGTAAATCTATAGTAGCCAGGTGCCACAGTCGTTGTTTCAATAAACTGTGTCCGCCTTTTTTTTTAACATCCTAGCGCAAGCACTCCAGCCCATGTTTAGCAAATGAAATGTGGGCGCAAAATTAATAATCATCAGGCTCGGCATCGGCTTTTCCCTTCAGGGAATCCAGACGCAATTTTACATAATTTACGTATTAAACAACATTTGTTTACAAAATCAATCTTCATAGACTGTTCTAAACTTTGATTTGTCAGGTATTTGCTCCTAGTTAAAAATAAAGATGAATACTATGACCAACCGGATCACCAATATAACATGATCTCTCATCACGTTAATTTTCCTTATGATCCAAGGTCAGGTTTTAATGGAAGTATAACTTGATTTGCTGTTTTGAGGATATTTGCGTCATGTTTGATCATCGTTAACAAAGCTTGCGTTAACTGAATTGTTTCTTGAGATCTTCCCACGCATGCGTAGTCAGATCGTGATGGTTTGATGACAAGATTATGTCAGGTGACGTCATGGTACAATACTAGCCTTGTAAGTAGCGAATCATTTTTATTATTCTTTGAGGAAAAACAGAGCATCTATTTTAAATATTTTCCACTGCGTGAGTGCGTTTTTGGCTATAGTAAATAATGCATGTAACATTGTTAATCAAGCTGGTTATTTTTTTATGGGTATGGCTGGTAAACGAGCCGACGGATCACCTGATGGTAAGCAATCGGCGTCGCCCATGAGGCGTTCAAAGTGCGTTACCGTCCTTTTGGCGATTAGAAATTTGAGGATTGTTGGAGATTCAGGGATTGGGGAGATTGGGTAAGGGGGGGGGGGGTTAATGGGGTGCCCGGTAACCTCACTCACACGACGAAACACAACGCAAGGGTTGATTCACGTCATTTTTATGGGAGGCCGTAGTATCACTCCGGTCGAGCCGGCCCATTCGTGGCGAAGCAAGGCTCTCCCACAGTTAAAATTGAGTTTAAATTTGAGTAAACTACATAGTTAGCAAATATTTTAAGCACTCACATTAATTTAAACTAAGTGTCATTTTATCAAAATCGGTTTAGAT